CCTGGAGCTGCTAAAGATAACACATGGGTAACATTCAATCTCTCACCTCCTGGTGAAAATATGTTGGACCTTTACAATACATTCATTACGTATAAAATGGAAGGTCAATTTATTGCAGATAAAGAAATTGGTTCAGGTTCCAATAAAACAAACCCACCAGGATTTTGGATTGGTTTCGATGACGCTTTCTATGCAGTTGCTGGATATCAAATCCTTGCAAATGGTCGTATCGTATATTCTCAAGACAACGCAAGAGAAGAAGCATATATAACTTCAAACTCACAAACTACCGAACAAATAAAGAAAGTAGATGTTTTCTCAAAGACTCGACATGAAGATGTATGGAGTCATTCGGGAACATGCAGAACAGGACAAATTGTTAGTGGTCCAATTACAGCAGGAAAATCATTTGATTTTAAGCTTCGTTTAAGAATTCCTGTTAGAAGATTCCTTCCATTAGAAGCTATTCGATTTATTCCAGCTTTTGCAGGAAACATTCAGCTTAAAGTAAAGTTCAGTAGCGACGCCTTACAATGCACATCTATATCTGTAAATGATATCGTTGCTTTCAATCCAACTCTTAAAGTTGCATTTGCTTCAGATTCAAATCCACCGACAAATAAATTTGTTCCATGGAATGAACCATTCACTATGATAACGAAGGCAATAGAAGCTAGTGGAACAGTTACTATTACAACTGTAACCCAGCAACTATTTCGAACAAAGATGGATTTTAATGAATGTTTCATTCATCCAAAGTCATTCTCTTTAGACTCCAACATTTATACAGAACTTGTAGAACATTATACAAACGAGGCTTTATGTTTTCCTGTTAAAGTTATGGATTGGTTTCCTATGGACGGTTCATTCTCAAAGAATACAGATAGTTCAAGTGCAACATTTACAGCAGCTTATACGCCTATTAATGTTAAAAGTATTTGTAGATGATGGTAGTGTGGAACATAAATGGGATAGCTATGACAACACACATTTCTTATGTGGTTTTCCAACAGAAGTGGACTTTTGCTTCCAGCAAGGTCAAACATCTACTGCTCCAATAACATACAAATTGTCTGTTAAAGGACCTATTGAACTAGCAACTGAAAATGTACCAAAGCCACTTATTGGATTTATGAGGGATTGTTGCTTTGCCATTCAGGTGCGTGCTAATGGAATCCCAATAATAAGATTAGATGACTATAACTTAGCTGCGGACGACAGTGAGGAATAAAGGATGAACGTTTATTTTAAAGCTTATAAATGAGTTCTTCATCAAGCTCTCGTGAACCTTCACCATCTATGAAACAAACTTTACCAAACGATTATGGAGCACCTATTGAATATTTCTTACGAGCTGCACAATGGCAAAGAGCAGTCTCACCAAGGTTAGGTGTTCCACCAGCTCCTGTCAAAAATAGCATTTGGTCAAGTCCTTATATAAAATATGGTCTCCCACTAGGTTTGCTAGCTACAGCAGGAGCAGTTATGATGTTGAAAAGAAATAAAGCAAATGTTGTAAATAATACTGAAGTAGCTGAAGTTAAACAAACTCCAACACCTTCGCCAAAACCAACGTCAAAACCAACGCCTTCACAAGCAAAACCTTCAATGACTCCTGAACCTATGGAAGTACAAACTCCTATTCAAAAGTCAACTCCTAAACCGACTCCAACATTTAAACCAGAACCTACTCCTCGAATAAATCGTAAAACTCCTGCGTTTCCTTACTGAAAAAAATAACGTTATTTTTATTTAATATTAAAATTTTTATTTGATTGAAATGACGACTAAAGTCACTGAAGCAATGAAACAAAAGTTTTTGGTAGAATACATTAAATCAGGAACTATTCCAGAAGGTTTTTACATTCATACTATGAAGGATGGTAGAGTTCAGTTTAGAAAGATAAAGCAACCATTAGATAAAGAAGGAATTTTGAGAAAGATTAAACTTCATGAGGACAACATTGCTGAACTTAAGAAGAAGTTAGAAGAGTTGGAGAAAGGAAGAGAGTTATAAAGCAATGAATTCAACAGGGTGAAAAAACAGGTGAAAAAAGAGGTGAGATCTCACCACTTCACCTAAATTTATTTTTGTGCTATGTTTTCATACGTGTGAGGGTGGTGATATCATTAATTTTTAAATAAATGTGGGAACAAAAATAAAGCATATCTACTCAACAGGAATGAGACCCTTACTGACTATGTATTCGTTTAATGCTTGATGAAAACAATGGTACATATTATCGTATGGGTATACACAACGTCTGTTTCCATCGTCGTCGTATATGTAGAGCTCAAATCCAGTCCAACCTTCTTTTGTACAATATGTAGCTTTATTTAAGTATGTATTTATGTAGATAAGGCAATTTTCTTCATCGCTCCAGAAATAATTTTTGTTCTTTGTTGAAATAGTTTTCGTTCCTCTGCGACCATAAGGAATGTATGCAATGAATTTTGCGTCATATGGGATTGTAATATATTCAGGGTTTCTTTCATCGTCAATGGGTCTGTCTTTGTTAAAATGCATGTTTCTCAGTTTTACTTGAGTTTTGAATAGTTCACGGAAACGTTCTGGGAAAGAGTCATAGTAAATGTAGTCAGACATGTCTTTACAATGAAATAAAAAAGTTGGAAAATAAATAAAATAAGGTTATTTTTTATTTAGTGAGGACGGTAGTGAATTCGTTAGTGAAGTCGTTAGTGAAGTCATTAGTGAAGTCATTAGTGAAGTTATTTATGTGTCAGACTGTTATCTTGGGTAAGGTGGAACGCAGTGCCGCCGTACCCAAGATAGGGATACTAACTTTAGTTTCTTAAATAATATATCCTTTATTTCCTCGTTTGTGAATCCTAATGTTTTCACGTCGTTAGTTTTGACACTCATTTCATACAAAATAAAAAAATAAATTTTCATAAATGTAAGACATGAATTTTTAAAGTTTATTTTTTAAAAATTTTTTTATTTTTTATTTCATTATGGTAGTGAATCTTTTATTCATGAAAATAATTATATCTAATTTCTTTTACTCGTTTATGAGGTCTTTGATTATGACTCCATTGATTCCATTCAGGATTTAAACAATGTTTAATTAATCGCGGAATATCTGACATCATCTATATATAGCTTCTTTTATAAAAGATAAAAAAAATTATTTTAAAATTAATGTTAATTTTTTAATGATTTATTTCATTATGTTTGGGCTGAGTGTAAATGCCTTACAATTTTGAAAATTTTTTAAATCTTGATTTATTCAAAAACGTAAGAATAAAAACCGTAAGAATCATATATTTTTTACTTCATATGTTAAAAAAATGATATAAAATCACTCGATATTGTATGAATTCTTACGTTTACAAAAAAAGTCACACAACCCGTCACATATACTACTCTCCTACTCTTAATTTAAAAAAAATTCAAAATCCATAATAGTAAACATTTCTTATTTTTATTTAAATCTGAAAAAAATAAATTTAAACAATTTCTCTACACACGACGGTTTCGGCGGTTTTCAGAATGGTTGACAACTGAATTCATCAGGATAATGTCGGTTGGGGTGCCCTTCTTGGCCTCCTGAGTACTCACCAAGATACCCCCAGCTCCCGCAAAACACCTCCCATAGGTGAGCATTAACTGATGAAGTTATTGACAACTTTATCTGATTTTTTTCTTTGTTTTTTTGTTAAGATTTCTTAACCAAAGACTCGAAAACAAAACTTCGCTTCAAGTTGCTGTCTTCCCAGTTACTCTGTCGCAATCTTTTGTCTGATTGCGTGCAAAGTTCTGCTCCTTTGAGACTTTGCCCGACAGATGCATCTGGGAGACAGCACCCAAGCAGCTTATCGCTTCAAGTTGCTGTCTTCCCAGTTACTCTGTCGCAATCTTTTGTCTGATTGCGTGCAAAGTTCTGCTCCTTTGAGACTTTGCCCGACAGATGCATCTGGGAGACAGCACCCAAGCAGCTTATCGCTTCAAGTTGCTGTCTTCCCAGTTACTCTGTCGCAATCTTTTGTCTGATTGCGTGCAAAGTTCTGCTCCATGAATTATCAAATATGTGCCATTTAAGGAGACATAACAAGCTCATGCCTCCTGGAATGGCGGATTGTTCAACAATCTTCTTCTGATTGCAGAACTTTCAAACGACCTCACGAAGAAATTCTAATCGATATCCTTTTCTATTGACTTATATTTGTGAATCATGACGTTAAAATCTTATGTTAAAATTATGTACTTTATAAATCAGTTCATTTCTGCTTAAAGCATATTAATAAAGTTGTTCTTCAGATTAATGTTAGTAAGCCGGCGCTAGCAAATAATCTTTGCATCTTTATTATGCTTATTAGTATGAAAGATTTAACATATAATTCGCCAAAGTTTAAAGCCTTATGACGAAACTTACCAAAAACATCTTCTTCCAGCAAGATCCGCCTATACTCCCACATTTGTCTCTACAGCTCTCACTTTGTCAGATTGTCAAAAGATTTATATGTCAAAGCTCAAAACTTAATGACGAAACTTACCAAAAACATCTTCTTCCAGCAAGATCCGCCTATACTCCCACATTTGTCTCTACAGCTCTCACTTTGTCAGATTGTCAAAAGATTTATATGTCAAAGCTCAAAACTTAATGACGAAACTTACCAAAAACATCTTCTTCCAGCAAGATCCGCCTATACTCCCACATTTGTCTCTACAGCTCTCACTTTGTCAGATTGTCAAAAGATTTATATGTCAAAGCTCAAAACTTAATGACGAAACTTACCAAAAACATCTTCTTCCAGCAAGATCCGCCTATACTCCCACATTTGTCTCTACAGCTCTCACTTTGTCAGATTGTCAAAAGATTTATATGTCAAAGCTCAAAACTTAATGACGAAACTTACCAAAAACATCTTCTTCCAGCAAGATCCGCCTATACTCCCACATTTGTCTCTACAGCTCTCACTTTGTCAGATTGTCAAAAGAATAAAAAAAAATTAAAAAGTGACAAGACAAATTTTTAATGACTGACATAGACCATCTAATAAGAGAAGATCTTCCGCCAGATATCAAAGAAAAATTAAAATTCCTCGGCAAATTAGTTCCTGACCCAAGATTCAATGCGGCAACTCTGAGCGATAAAAAAGTCGAAGTTTTAATGGATCTTATAAAAGCTAGTTTTGACGAATCATACGGAAATCTTATTGATCAAATTGTCACCATTACAAATATATCTCGCTCTACCTTGTATAATTATAGAAATGCTTACCTGGAAGATGAAAAATTCAACCCAAAAACGGCACAGTTACTTGTTAACAGAGCTATTGATGACGAAGGAGAGCTCTTGATAGCCAACTACATTATCACAGAATTTATTGAAAAAAAGTTTTTTTTTCAATACACAAATGTGCCGAGTAATTGTGGAAATGTTTAAAGATGCTTACCCTGAACATGTTTTGAAAAAAGAGAATTTCGAAATATCTCCTCATTATCTTGTGAACTTTAGAGAGCGGCAAAATCTGACAACAAGAAAGGCACATTGGCACAGAAGACCTCAAGATAAAGAAGAAATGCAAGAGCGGATACAACAATTCAATGAAATTAAAGCGGAACTCTTTGAAAGATTCAAAGACGAGCTTTGGCGGCTCGCAAATGCAGATGAATCTTTCTATGGATGCGGCATTGCAGGCGGTCTTACTTATGCTATTAAAGGATCAGAAGGAGTCGATATACACATTAACCACAACCAAAAGAAGGGTGTTACAATCATTGCAACCATCACAGCTGATGGAAGAAAACTTCCTTTGACAATTGTGTGCAAAGGATTGACAGACAGGTGCCATCAACAAGTGAGCGACGACCGGATCATCAGCAATGAAAAGATCCTTCATTCCGAATCAGGATGGTCTACCCATGAGGTTTTCAAATCTTACCTCGAATGGGTTCGCGACTGATATGATCAAGCGTTTGGCGACAATGAAAGTTATAGGAGGAATAACAAAATTATTTTATTCCTCGACACTTACTCCAGCCACAGGAACAAGGAGACGAAGGACCTGGCAAAAGAACTCAACATTGATCTTGTTTACATTCCAGTTGGTTGTACAGATCTTTGCCAGCCACTCGACGTGAAGGTTTTTGGCGCTCTCAAAAACATGGCGACTCGAATGTGGTGAGATTTCTATGCCATCGATCAAACCTTAGTGTGCACACTGAAAATGGCTGTGTATATCTTGGTCCAATGCTGGAAATGTCTCGATGAAAACCTCATTATCGAAGCATGGAATATGCATGAGGCTGATCTCAGAGAAAATGAAAGAATTCTCAGCAAAGTTACTGATGAGCAAGCTGCCGAATTTCTTGAGAAGATCGAACAAGTCAGGGAAGAATACATACACAAAGCCGAGCAAGCATTACCACAAGGTGAGAATCTGGATATGCTCCGAGACTTTAGTGAAATTCCTGAAAGAAGATATCGCAGGCAAGAAGGAGAAATCGACTCCGATGATGATGAAGAGTGGCATCCTGAAGCAGATCTTGACGGATTCAGTGATGATGACTTGGACTTCATTGATGAATACGACCTCAATTCAACTGAGGATGAGAGTTCAGTTGATCCTCCGTCGGATTACGAACCTGGTAATATCGCTGATGCTTTTTCACCAATTCCTGTTGAAGTCGAAGATCCTCCATCACACCTTCCAGATCAGATATTCTGCTCAATGGCAAGAGGAGGTGCCTCCTTTATCAATTGCGTAGATAAGGCTCCGCAGTTTGAAGCAATTTGCTTTTCTCAAGCGAAATATCTCAAAGAATTCGCGGATAGGAGAACTAAAAAAAACCACAGTGTCGATCACGTTAATGGCCTTGAAATACGTTTAAATGATGAACGATCTTCATTGAACGTAAGTTTACAAATGCTATTTACAATACTCACATTAGAGGCCTATAATCCCGAAGATATTAATGATGTATTTAAATTGTTTCATATTGAAAATGATGATGTTTACACAGATGTCCTCAGATTCATGGAAATTCTTCTACGAATGGGTAGATCAGTCAGGGTTTCTCCAGGACAGTTCTATCAGGATCTCGATTTCCGTGAACAGGGCGATCCAAGGCTGTTTATCACACATTTCTTCAGCCCAGATCTATGCGGTATTGTATATCTTGATGAAAATAACACTGTTCAACTTGTCAAAATGTTGAAACTGCCAGATGACGGAGATTTTAAAGATTTCATTAAGGAAAAGAAAATTATTAAGATGAGCAAATATTTGTTCATAGGAAGCAATCAACAATCCCAAGATGCGCAACCCGACATATTGGAGTTTTCCGATGGTAGCATTTATATTCGTTTTGCTATCATTTCATTAGAAATTGCAAGAAATGGATCACCATATTTTAAATTTTATAGAAGATTGGATCTTGAAGGTAAATTTGTAAGAATTACAAATCAATGGGTACGCGAGATGGACAAAGAAAATGCAATCGGAAATCAGTTTATTTCTTTATATGTGAAAGGTAATGATCATAATGAATAAATGTATTTGTATCAAAGTTTTTTTTTTGGAAATAAAGTTAAGTAAGCTAATTGAGTAATGGATATGATATCCATGTATATGGATATCATTAGTTATTAGAATGGAATGGATTGTTTAAAATAGGAGATTTTACATAATAGAATTTAAAGGAATTTGGATTTAAATGAGTGTATTGTGCACTCTTGTCGGTTACAGTGTCTCATTCCGGGAGACATTGCCTCTGAATGTCTCCCAGAATGAGACAATCTTCTGCAATCAGAATGTGATTGCAAAACTTTGACCGACAAGAGTGTATTGTGCACTCTTGTCGGTTACAGTGTCTCATTCCGGGAGACATTGCCTCTGAATGTCTCCCAGAATGAGACAATCTTCTGCAATCAGAATGTGATTGCAAAACTTTGACCGACAAGAGTGTGTTATCCACACTATTTGTTTATATACTATGTTTTTAGATCAAACCCTTTACATACAATTGTTCAAATATAATTTTCTCCATTTAATATTTATTTTATATTTTTTTGTGCTTTATATAACTTATGGCGTCTACCGAACTATTTTACAGACTCTTCTGAGCTCTTCCCACATATAAACATGTGACAATAACACATACATACTCCCTTCATATTCTGATCTCATGACATATTACCCCAAAAACTATATTTATACAACACACCTCATATTTTCACGCTCTGACAGCAGAAATCGAATCAGCGGAACCTGAAGAATCAGATTACGCGGAACCTGAAAAATAGGTTTTGAACGCTTAGATAAGTGTAAAATGAGACTTTATGAGGTGTGTTGTATAAATATAGTTTTTGGGGTAATATGTCATGAGATCAGAATATGAAGGGAGTATGTATGTGTTATTGTCACATGTTTATATGTGGAAAGAGCTCAGAAGAGTCTGTAAAATAGTTCGGTAGACGCCATAAGTTATATAAAGCACAAAAAAATATAAAATAAATATTAAATGGAGAAAATTATATTTGAACAATTGTATGTAAAGGGTTTGATCTAAAAACATAGTATATAAACAAATAGTGTGGATAACACACTCTTGTCGGTCAAAGTTTTGCAATCACATTCTGATTGCAGAAGATTGTCTCATTCTGGGAGACATTCAGAGGCAATGTCTCCCGGAATGAGACACTGTGACCGACAAGAGTGCACAATACACTCTTGTCGCTCAAAGTTTCGCATTCAAGTTATGAATGGGGAACTTGATATCATTCTGGGAGACATGCAGTGACAATGTCTCCTGGAATGAGACACTGTGACCGACAAGAGTGCACAATACACTTAATGTTTTCAAATTTTCAGATTTAAATTTAATCTTTATTTTCATCATCATTTATAGTCTTGTTCCTTTATACAGTTATAATAAATTATCGTCAGATTCTAATATTTAAGATTCTTACTACTCAATTCAATATAATTATGTTAGTCACTCATATTCAGGAGAATAATTTAAAAATCTATAGCTCATATTTTGATAGTTATATATTTAGATGATATATATTGCAATTCCGGTTTCAACACGATCAAATGCCAAACCAAGACAAAATATATATGAATTTTCAAAATATCGATTTACATTAGAATCTATATCTAATTTTATCAATACACAAGTAGTGGATGTTCAATACATCTTTGAGCAACGTGAATAGCACAATTTTATAGGATTATTAGTTGATTATATAAAATATAAGCCAAATCGAATCTGCTGTAAAGTACTTTAGTTTATCATTGAATGTTAAATGTGTTCATATAAATATTTGAGTCAGATATCGCATTTTCTAATTTCAAAATTTATCTCATGAAGTTAGAATTTATTTGATCATACAACATCATGTTAGTCAAACCAGAGTTCAATGGCGATTCTAAAATGGAACAAATGCTTGTTTTATCAAAATGTTAAAATATTAATCTAAAAAACTTAATATCTAACCAAACCATTCTAGAATTATTATATACAGGTATGGGCAATCTAAATGCACACGGAATTCGGAAAATTAAAAAGAATATTTATGAGATTATTAAATCTTATGTAATTCAATGAAAAGTAGATAATATGAATATCCATAGGCTATATATCAACATATGAGTTTTTGGTTTGACCAATACTATACTAATGTGATCAAATTAATCTGATTTCTTAGATTTTCATTTGAAGCATTTGCAGTAGTAGGGGTACCTTTATATATTAACATATTAAAAAATTGCGCTCCGATTCGCAGTTTCTTCATGATTTTGAGATTGCATTAGATTTCGCGATGCAGAAAAAAATCACTTTAGATTCCCGTCAAACTCTAAGTATAAGCATGTCTCTATATGTAGAAACTGTCAAAATCATAGGTTCGGCCTCAGAAAAATTTGTGAATGAAAATTTTTCTCTATATAAGTAGTGCATATTATTCTAATTAATATTTTATAAAAATATAGTTTGAATTAAAATCGATTATTTTCCTGATTGATACCTATCCAAAGATATAAAGCATACTGTATTCATGGACATAAGAATAAAAACTTATTTGCATAGTTTTGTTGACTAATTTCATATTTTCGGAACTTTATTGTTGACATTAATAATAAAAATATAGATTTAACATTAATGTATATGACAATCATTATTTATTGCTACTGTATGAGTAATGTATATAGATAGAACCAGCTAATCTCAATATTTGATTTCAATTTATTTATTATTTTACATTTGGATCTAATTTTATAAGAAAATATAGATGGATATCAAGTTCACTTTAAAGAGAATGAAATTAAAGTCTTAGATAAATCATTTTTAATTTTAAACGGCAACTTTCCCACATGCGAGAATATTCACGAAACCATTAATCCAAGCAGTCATACATGTATTTCAACATGCAGTCTAGCTATTCTAGACGATACTGCAAAAAAATATTGATAATACGTGAAGTTATTGACTCATTCATTAGATTTTTACGTTGGAACCATCGTATTAATGAATGCCATAATGCACTTGGATGTACCCATTATATTGACAAGCGCACAACTCCATTTTTCCATGTTTTGATAATTCAAAATTTTATCCTGAATCAATTACGGAGTTTCTGTTTCAAATATTGAAGATACACATATTGTTATATTGTTTTGTAAAAGAATTTATAGTACTTTTTAAAAAACCGTTTTTGCAAAAATCTCGGGAACAAATTTCCCTCAATTTAATTTGAGAAATTTGTAAACTATTCAAAATTGAGAGCCATGTTCCCGAGATTATTGCATTACTATATATAGAGGTAAGGATGTCAATTCGGAAAATTGTTTTCATTTTAGGAGAATATAATTTTCCTTTTCGAAAATTTAAAAAGTGAGACGCGCAGGATTCGAACTTTTTTAAAAGTTGATTTAAATATATTCTAGTGTGGATTCTAAGGATAATATCATATTTAAAATAAGAATATGTTGTAAACAGAAATTCATCAAAAGTGACACCTCGGAAAAGCTAAAATATTGAATTTTTGGAACTTTTGATAGAGCACGTTTTTAAATATTAATTAAAGTAAATGTATATTTTGTAAAGATTCTTTTTAATAAAAAAATAAAATTTTGAAGAAAAACACAAAATCTTCTGAAAAATAATATCACATAAACTCATATTATTTTCTAATATATAACTATTTTATATAAAAATCAAATTCAATGATCTTAAAAGCGAAGGATAAACCTCAAAATTTACGAATATAATGAGTGGGAATATAATGCTTATCTATCATAAAACCATATGAAATATCAATTTTTGCTTTACGCCTAATTTTTGACGACAATTAGCAAAAAATGTTAAATGTTAACACTCAGTCCATTTGAATATGAAAAATAAAATTGACTTTGATTAAATGTTTTTATTTATCATGCAATTCTTCTTGCGACCAAAGATTTGAATAAAAGTTCAAAAAATAAGATAGCTTAAAAAATAATATACGGTAGTGTTTACTAATAGATGAATAGTATATAAATTCTATTAAAATGGATTTGATCCAAAAAAATATAAAACCAAAAATAATTGTTATAATTTAAATGAAGAAGTAATTTAAAACGATTTTATTTATGATCAAATTTTATATATTTTTTTAGATCAAATCCATTTTAATAGAATTTATATACTATTCATCTATTAGTAAACACTACCGTATATTATTTTTTAAGCTATTTATTTTTTGAAATTTTATTCAAATCTTTGGTCGCAAGAAGAATTGCATGATAAATAAAAACATTTAATCAAAGTCAATTTTATTTTTCATATTCAAATGGACTGAGTGTTACATTTAACATTTTTTGCTAATTGTCGTCAAAAATTAGGCGTAAAGCAAAAATTGATATTTCATATGGTTTATGATAGATAAGCATTATATTTCACTCATTATATTCGTAAATTTTGAGGTTTATCCTTCGCTTTTAAGATCATTGAATTTGATTTTTATATAAAATAGTTATATATTAGAAAATAATATGAGTTTATGTGATATTATTTTTCAGAAGATTTCATTCTATATGCCTATGAAAAGTACTCTCAAAACCAACTTTTTCCTAATTATAATTAAATCTAGAATATTGTATTATGCTTAGTATTCTTTCATTTTTCTCATTCAATTTAGAATTTACAAATGTCAAAAAATTGAGAGCTGTCACTTTTGATGAATTTCTGTTTATTACAAATATACTAATTTAGGTGGTATAATTTTTTTCGATAAATTTGAGAGCATGTACGTTTAGGGCATCAAAAGTGTCAATTTGCTCAGCGAAAGCTGAGCTAGCTTCGTTCTCGAAAGAATAGGGAAGGAGTGAAAGAGAGTGATACAGATGTTGACACATTCATATCATTTCAACAAATTTTGATCAAATTGAAATGCAATGAAATTCAATTCACTTCATATCCTTCAGTCAGTACATTGACATCCTTCTACATCACAATGATAACTCGTGCATCAATAGTTCTACAACTAACTCAGAAAAAACAAGATTTTTCCTTCCAGCTTACAGCTTTTAAAAAGTTTCGATGATAAAAATCACTCTACTCTTGTTTATCGATATGTTGTGATAGTAGGTAAACGTATTCTTATCGATATTAATAAAAATATTTTTACGAAAATCTGAACCAATTACAGAGTTATTCATAAAGTTTATGATAACTGTAATTACTTCATCTTTGTTTTATATTTGAATAAACAATTTAATTTAATTTGCATAATTTTTTTTAGTTGAAAGACAGGAAACTTAGTTGAGTTTGTATTATTTTTATCGTTCAATTCATTGTATGTGTGAGTGATCCAGATATTTAAGATATTTAGAAAAAATTTATTAATTTGATTAACAAATTTTAATCAAAATAGCAAAAATCTATTTGATAGCTGTAAGCAAACAATAATTTTATTTCAAGCAAAATCACTTATTTTCATCTAAACGTATAAAATTGTCAATTTTATGAGAATAAATTTAAAATCTCATGAAATATAAAGGAGAGTAATATTTTTCAATTTTCTTTTTTTCTTTGTCTCAAATATTTTCTGTTGGGAATTTTCTTGTTATCAAAAAATAATTTTAATATTTGTTTATTTCATTACATACAATAAAATTTTAAAAACTCTATTTCTTCACAAGAAAATTTTTTTCCTTCATATGAAGAAACATTTTGTTCTCCATTTGATGCTGAGTCTAAATCTCGATTTTTGAATTTTCTTCTTTCCAAATTTCTTTTTTCCAAATTAGAAGTTTAATTCAAATTTTCAATAGTTTATATATTTTCTCAAACCGTCTTAGATTTTCTCACTTTTTAGGGATTTTCTCTCAAAATATACAAAAATAGTAATACCAATACATGTGTCTAATATACTTTAAAACCATCGTGATAAAATTCAAAAACGAAGAGTTCTTCTCTCCAAATTTTTTTCAAAATCAAAAAAATGAGATAAAAAAATATGTTTGGAAAATTCATTTTTAGCATCTTAGGAATTTTCTCACTTTTCTTCCAAAATGACATCCTTAATAGAGGACAACACAGTAACTTTTGACATTATGAATTTACAGTAAATTAGCATCCTATATTTATATTTTTTATGACTTAATTTTGATAGTTTTCGTTCAGAAATTTTAATCATATTTTAAGTAAACATATATTAGTATTCTTCATTATTTACTTGGCGCCTTGCGCCAACTAAATAGTGAATAATTCAATTTTTCAAAAAATTATTTAATTTGGCCGAAGGTGGCATGCTTGCCCGAAGGGCAAGCGAAGCCATCTGAGGTCCCAGATTATATTTGATCAAATATATATCTTCGCACTGCAGATCAATAAATCACATGATATGCTTGTTGAAAAATTTTATACTAATTTCCTTAAGGGTACACTTATTATTTTGTACCTTTTTCATAATGAGGAAAATAGACATGAAAAGGCCCTGAAAATAAATCGTTAAACAAATAATAAGGGAGAGTATCAGAAGTGGTAGGTGCTCTTTTAAGTGAAAACTTAAAATAACTCATGTTTAGGCAATAACTACTACATTGAGGCTAATATAGTACGTTTTCATTCATCCATTTGCTTGCTTTTGTTGAAATAAAATCATTAATATCATACTATCTTAAAATAAGATTTTTGTTGTGTTAAATAAACTCATGACAGAATAAAGAATCAAGAAATCAAAAACAAAATTCAGATATTATTTCTCAAATGTGTTCAAATTAGAAACTCAATTAATTGTAGTTAATAAGAATATGATAAATCAGTTTATAATAAATTCTAGCATATTTATTCCTTCTCCTCAGCTGATTTCTTGATAGTTTCTTCGTATCTCTTCATTAAAGTATCAACTTCGGATGTTGTAAGGATACGAACCTTTGGACCGTATTCCTCGCGGAACTGAAGGACAGCAAACTCTAACTTATCAGCGCTAAGGCTAGTAGAATCGAGAGTCTTGCATAATACCTTAACAGTAAGATCCATAGCCTCTGTAGCTGTCATGTTGTCCTTGTACTGAGATTTGAGGATTGATTGGGCAGTCTGATTATTCTCTCCGATAGCTGTAGCCTTCCAACCACCGAAATTACCAGATGGATCGGTCAAGTAAAGTTGGCAGCCTTTATGACGATCGTAACCAGCAATTAAGAAGGAAACACCGTATGGACGGAGACCACCATACTGTGTGTAGCTATGCTTTTCATCGCAAACCATGCGGACGAGCTGTTCAACTGGCATCTGTTCGTCGTATGTCTTGAGATACTTTTGTGCTGATGTTCTCATCAAATCAACGAGTGTATTTGCATCAGCTGTTAAACCAGCGACTGCTGTAACAATATGACCATCAATTTTAGCCATTTTTTCTGGGAATAAGTAGTCAACGAGTCTACCTGTGTTCTTTTTTTCTGCAGCTAAAACTACACCATTTGTAAACTGAACGCCAATTGCTGTACCAGCTTGGTTGATAGATTGGATAGCATACTCTACTTGGAGAATACGGCCATCGCTGGAAAATGTTGTAGTACCTGCATCGTATCTGTATGTCATTTGTTATTTAATCAAACAAACCTTCTCAATTTAGATTGTTCAATAGAATATTGGATATTTTTTCGCACTAATAATATGATCATTTGATTAAAAATACTTTGACAAACATATAATTGAATTTTGGTTCAAAAATACTAGAAATTCGATTCCGATTTTGTTACAAAGTGATTATTGATCAAAATCTGTATTTTGGTTAAAATACATTTTAAAATTTATGATAATTAAGTTATATATAAGCTTCGAAATCCTATATCACAAAATTTTTATTAAAAAAATTATAGTGTTTGTCATCTGATATAGGTCTCATTTAAGCTAGACATTTGATTTTATTAGGTATTAGGCTGATATTTGAGACCAGTAGTATTTAGTGTTGACGATTATTGTACGTTTTTAGAATGGAGAATGATGTTGATATTGCTTTAAGGGGGAATCAGCTTATTAATATTTCCCTCGATTATAAGTCAATGAGAGACATCTTAGCTGAAATGGCTCTCCGATTTGAAAAATTACAAAAACAATTTACAGATTTTACGCAAAATAACGAAGTTGATAGACAGCTAGAGTTAATGCAATCGCAAATCGACAATATGAACAGACAAGTAGCATCTCGACCTGCAGTTACTCCAGCGGAATCTGGAATAAATGAGGATTTTCTCGAAAATAGGCTTAAAGATTTCCATAAAACGATAATACAAGAAATTTATCAAGAAAACAGAAAAGTTACATCAGATGTTCTTAACCAATTCGATAAAACAATGGAAAGACAAAAACCTTTAATAATTCAAGAAGCAATCAACGGAGCATTGACATCAGCTCAAATAGAGTCATTAAAGACTCGCGTTGACGCTTTGGATTTGATCTCAGAACATACAAGTAAAATTGTAACTCCAAAACCAGAACCTTCCGAGCCTTCTGAACCAGCTGAACCTGCTCCAATTGCAACAGTACCAACAGTAGCAAATATGCCAGACGATGTCTTCAATAAAGTACAAAGCTGCGAAGTAAACGTTCTCAAAATCAAATCTGATTTACCTGTAATACTTCAAAGACTTTCTACACTCGAAGGAAATATGGCTAAAGTTAACGAAACCGTTGATACACAAACAAATGCAGTTTCCCAATTCAGTGACCAAATTTCAAAATTATCATCAAATTCTGAAGAGAGATTATCAAAGATTGAGCAAAGATTACGTGAAAATTCTGATGTTAAGGCATCCTACGTACCACAGATGTCAAGCAACAGAAAGATTGACGTAGTTCAACCGGAAGATATCGTTGATAGCTGTACAATATCAGTAATCAAGAAGATTCAACCTAAAATCGATGAAGCATTAACAACATCGCATAGTGTTGAAGAAAGAGTCGATAAAAGATTCGAAGATTTGGATAATTTATTGAAATCAGAAAATCTGAAGGAACTTCTCGAGAAAGGACTACCAAAGAGTATCAGTCCTAAGCCAACGACCAAGGATTTAGTACTAGTAAGTAACGAAACTCCTCAAATAATTTCAGATGAAAAATCTGAACATCAAAAGCAAACAGAGTCCACAAACAATGAAGCTCCAGCCAATGCAACGCCACAGATCATCCAGATCCAAGCTTCTCCTCAAAGAGAACCCCAAAATTCAAGAGTTGTTATTACAGAAGTTACTCTTCCAAAGAAGGACCAAAACCAGGAGCCACAACCGATAACGAACACACAGACCATTCAGCAAATTGTTCAAATTCCTCAGTCAGATATTCCTCAATTAAACCAGTTAATTGAGGTTACACAGAGGCAATCGAATGATATAGCTATAATTGCTGATAGGGTCAATCAGTTGAGCTCTCTTTCGGAGAAACTTAAAGAATTAGAAGAAAAATTGAACCAATTGAGCCAAAATAAGCCAGAAACTGAAGGAGATAATAAAGAATCAGTTGTTTTGTCACTTGAACATCCAATCCAGCAACTTAATACTGTCCAACAGCAACAAATCGACCAATCAATTAATATTAAGAATTTATCTGAACGAGTAACGAAGTTAGAGAGCCAAATCGATGGATTAAGTGGTAAAGTAGGCAAGACAAGCTTCATGGCCCCACAACGTGAAGCTCCTTTGTCAGGAAGAGCAGAAAAACAAAGAAGAGGACTAAATCTTGCTCCTGCAACAAACATAAGCCCAAGAAGGAACTCTGATAAGAACAGTAAAGACACAACTGAACAGAAAGAACCACAGCAACAAAGTAAACCCAAATTATCAATTCAATCTCAACCGCAAGTTGAACAAAACCCAGAAGAACAGAAGAAGCCACAACTGTCACTCAATATACAGCCATCAGAAGACTCAAATGTTGAAATTTCCCAACCAGAAATTTCATCTCCTGAACAATCCGAAGAAGTTCATACCGAAACCCCAACAGAACAAGAACAGACCCCCGAAAATGTGGTCTCTGCTGACGGAAATCAAGATTTGGTTTCAATTGATAAAATTGAAACATCATCTCAAACTTTGTACATAGATATCGAGACACAAATCAATCTCCTTGACGAGCAAGCAACACAGTTTACGGGCTACAGAGACATTTCCGCTATGACATCTTCCATCAAAATGTCCCCAATAGTAGGAACCCCTGTAAACGCCTCCTCAGGCGATGTAACACCTCAAGAACCACACTCCATCGCTTCTACACCTCCTCATCGTCCAGATCCTGAAAAAGAACCACTTTACAGTTCTCCGAACATTTCACCACACAATTCAAACAAACCTTCTCAAAATTCAGAGCTTCCTGAAGTCAATCAAACAGAGGATTCTATTTCACCACATCGCAAGGAAGTACTGTTTAATCCACAACCAATCACAACAGGACCTTCCTCTCCATCTCCTGGCCAGAATTCATCATCTCCTGCTTCAAACAAAGCATCGAATGCTGATGTAAACATCAAATCCGTAGTATTCAATGCACAAAAGACTTATCTCTCCCAGCCAACAAGTTCCAGGTACACGAATGGAAACAGAGTGACTAAACAAGTTACAAACCAAGATGAAGTTCACGACAGCGTCACTCATGAAGGAGAAATCGTTGAACCATTAGGAATAAGTTCTCCGAAATTCCAAGGAACTAATAGTGGAGGAAAGTCTACAGCTATCAGTCCGAAAGTTTCATCATTATCTCAGACATACGCTGAATTAGAAGATGCTTCTAAACGCGTACAAGATGATGTTGAAAGTTTAAGAAATGAGATATCCGAAATCTGTGCGAAACAAGAAGAAAGCGCCAGAATTTTGGCATCTCTTTCTTCAACAGTTGCTGATACAAGAGAACTGAATAAAGTGAAGGAAGACCAAGCAGACATGAATTTGTTAGTTGAAGATTTGCAGAAGAAGATTGGAGATTCAGCAACAGTTAATTCATTGAGAACAGTTACACAGAACTTCTTAGGATCAATCCAAGATTTGGATAAACGATTGGAAGAAGTTCGTGTCCAAATTCCTCTTTTAGTTACTAGGAAAGACTTGAACGAGATCTTGACAAACTTGTCATCCGGTTCATCATCAACCGACACAGCTGTTGGAAGACTTGGATACAGATGTTTACTCTGTGGAAAACCAGCAAGTACAACAGGAATGATCGCAGAATCCGAACTTGCAAGAATGCTTGGAACACCACCACAACAATGCAATGCACGCGATCCAAAGAGTGTTTTGTTGTATTCTAAAGATGCTGGCAGACAAAGCATGAAACAGAAGAAACTTGCACCTTTACCACCTGTTGGCCAACAATAATAAATTCGTATTTTATCTTTGTTTTGTTTTAATTAAAGTAATTTTTATATTTTAATTATACATGGCACGATGGGCGCTACTTTTTTGGCGCCAGCGGCGCCGCCCGCGCCTCCGGTGGCTCCCACTGGTGGGGAGGAGACGATAGAAAAAGATATAAATTTTACTAAAAAATTGAATTTTGGAAATTCTTTTGATTTTTTTGAATGATTTACGAAGAGATTGAACACATTTTGTACTATGAAATATCGTTATTAATAAATTTACTTCTTAAACATCTATTAAAATCGCAATTTTGAATATTTTTATGATTTTTTTTGACCCGATCACTTGCGCCCGCGCCCACTGGGAGGGGCGCTTGTAAAGTATTCAAAAATCAATATAAACATTTCAATTTTTGCTCCCACCTCCCATTGGGAGGGGGGCATATATCTTGTAGCGTTCAAGTTCAAGTGATGAAAGTGCATAAGAAAGCTCCTTAATCATACCGATAGAAACAGCATTAGGGGCGCCAAATGGCGCTCGGTGATGTTTCCCATAAAAGCTTAATTTCAGGTATCCATAATCATAACCTGTCAGACGCAATAATTCATTAGCACACAATCATCGTTTCTCAATCAAGAAACGAAACGCACGATTGATTATGCTGGCCATTAAATTTTCATATCAAATAATTTACTACTTCAAGAAAAATTAAAGACTATCATCAACCAAAGCTTAAAATTCTCAGTGTTTACAACACTCATACTTCGAATATGCATATTTCCAAAATAGCATGAAAATTTTTTTCATTTGAGCTCATTTTCTTTTGTTCTATTAACTAATACATGCAGTACAAGCTTGTTATACGTATACTTAATAAGTAAGGTCTTAAGGGAAATAATAAAAAAGAATTTTGCTATTTTAATTATATTAAAAATATTATTGTAATTTCGTGATAATTATATTTCTTATTACAAAGTAAAGGTATTTGATATAATGTTTGCCTTACAAAAATGTTTCCTTTGTCTTGCCACCATAGGTATTCTATTTTGTCACTTTTTGCGCCCGCCGTGCCATGTATAATTTTAATACTTTTATACTATAGAAATAATTAAATCCAGTAGTTATATTTATTGATGTATTCTTCTCAATTTTTGTATAAAACCGAATTTTAGATTTTTATAGATTTTGATATAATATATTATGATACGAATTATCATACACACTAAATATCAAACAATAATGATTGAAGTGGATACAATTGACATTCTCTCAATTTTGTGCATTATCTCCAATAGTTAATATAGCACTATATAATGTTATTAAAGCATCAAAATGAAATGATCATGTGTTTTGAGAGGAATTTTCAATTTATCTGCACAATGTGATGATTTATCAAATAAAATTTTGATTGAAAAATAATCGTACTTCGAATAAAAAATCACGTAATCCGATTTTTAGTTAGTTGCATTTTGATTATTCTGTAAAAAATGGAATATTAAGCTACCTACATAATATATATGGATTCACATATCCTCAATATATTTCTATCACAGAGTCTGACCATGAACTTAATTACTATATTAGACATGCGTTCGATTTTGATTATGCACCGAATTCATATTGGATCTCATCCACAACTCATGGATATTTTACAATTTGCTTTCCTTTTCATTCTCTTACCATCGAATCTTTTGAAATTACGACTTCACCGTTTGCTTGCCGTCCAATTATAATTGCAGTTGAAGTTAGTGAAAATGGGAAAGATTATCATGGATATCAAGAATATGAACGTCATATGGGTCCGTTAGAAACTGCTCGATTTTTATATAATTATAATAAAACTTTTGTTAGATGCTTTAAGTTTTATTCTGTCTTATCAACTTGCCATAATAAAGGTCTTGGAGCTGATATTGGCCAAGTTGATTTCTATGGATATTTTAAGGAAATAAATCAGTCCACAGATGTGTTTGGATGCCCGAAAATAAATTGTGCTACGTGCTATGTTCATCGTGGTCTATCTTTAGAATTATTTTTAATGTTTGCTGTGCATTAAATATACTTTTGACTTTATCATTTCCCTAAAAAATCTAATCTTTTTTATATATGAACTTCAATCATGATCTTCATATTATCTACAATAGCACCAGCAGATAAAAGATACATACAAACATCTTTATGCTCCATTTTGAAAGCAATATAAAGAGATGTTAATCCTTTGTTATCTTTAGCTTCAATATTTGCTCCGACAGAAACGAGATATTTCACAATGTCAAGATATCCATGTATTGATGCCATTATTAATGGTGTAAATCCATGATTATCTTTTGCTTCTATATTTGCCCCTGCACGAACTAATTGTACAACATTTCCAAGTTTGCCAGCTGCTGATGCTACAATAAGAGGAGTTGCTTCTGTATCAGCTTTTGATTCAATATTCGCTCCACTAAGAATAAGATAGGAAACCATTCCAGGAGAAGCATAAGCTGCTGCCATTATGAGTGGATAAATCTCTTTCTTCAACAGTTGCTGATACAAGAGAACTGAATAAAGTGAAGGAAGACCAAGCAGACATGAATTTGTTAGTTGAAGATTTGCAGAAGAAGATTGGAGATTCAGCAACAGTTAATTCATTGAGAACAGTTACACAGAACTTCTTAGGATCAATCCAAGATTTGGATAAACGATTGGAAGAAGTTCGTGTCCAAATTCCTCTTTTAGTTACTAGGAAAGACTTGAACGAGATCTTGACAAACTTGTCATCCGGTTCATCATCAACCGACACAGCTGTTGGAAGACTTGGATACAGATGTTTACTCTGTGGAAAACCAGCAAGTACAACAGGAATGATCGCAGAATCCGAACTTGCAAGAATGCTTGGAACACCACCACAACAATGCAATGCACGCGATCCAAAGAGTGTTTTGTTGTATTCTAAAGATGCTGGCAGACAAAGCATGAAACAGAAGAAACTTGCACCTTTACCACCTGTTGGCCAACAATAATAAATTCGTATTTTATCTTTGTTTTGTTTTAATTAAAGTAATTTTTATATTTTAATACCTTTAAATTATAAATGGCCTATAGAATAATGAAATTCAGTTTGTTTAAGGCATCAAAAAGCAATGATTATGCGTTTTGAAAGGAAATTTCATTTTATCTGAACATTGTTATGATATTTATGAGTGCGCTTACCACATTCTGGAATTCTCTCAAATTTCTTGTTTAAGGTTTTATTTTATATGTCTCTCCCCGCCCGTATATCTCTTTTTGATTGAAAAATAATCGTACTTTGAATATAAAATCATGTAATCCGATTTTATGTTGGTACTTAGTTGCATTTTAATTATTCTGTAAAAAATGGAATATTAAACTATCTACATAATATAGGGTGTCCAAAGGTGTGTTTAGCACAAACCTGAATACTGCGAATAGAAATAAACAAGTTACATATATATAAAGTTTATTTAAATATAATAACCATTGGATTCAATCACGCGTTCGCAGCGATCGATCCAGGCTTGAAAGACACGCTTTAAATCATCATGAGAAAATTGCTCAAATTGCTCTCTTACAAAATTTTCAAGATCATCTGGACTCGCGAATTCGCGTCCTTCAGCTCTCTTTTTTAGCGTGCCGAATAAATAAAAGTCAGAGGGTGCAATATCAGGTGAATAAATTGGGTTTGGAACAACTTTGACATTGTTTTCCACCAAGTAATTCATTACCTTATGACTTTTGTGAACTCTTGAATTATCAAAATGAATTGCAAACTTTTGTTTTTGTTGTTTGGATTTCTCAAACTCATCAGAATTGATAATTTGAGTAAGAACATTGTCAATTAGATACTGAGCATTCATCGTATTAGGTTTTTGAAGAATATCAATTGCGATGATGCCATTCACGCCCCAAAAAACCGACAACATCATCATTGGTGTGTCAATTTTTTTCTTCGGGAATGTTTGCGGATTTTCATCCTTCGGGATCCACATGATTTTGGCTTCTGTTGCATATTGAAACCAAGACTCGTCCCCTGTTACTAAAAAGCGAAACTTCTTGGATTGATACGCACGCAATATAGAGGGGAGCTCTTTCGAAGATTGGACTCTAGATTTTTTTTGAACTGAATTAAGGTTGTGCGGAACCCAACGTGTATACGCTAGTTTGTAGTTCAAATAATTGTGCAGATAATAACTGACTGTTATACGTGGTATCTTTGTCATCTCCTCTATCCTTCTGAGTGATGCTCTTGGGTCTTCATCTAGCGCTTGAAGAATTGCTTTGATTTTTCTTTGATCCGGCGATTTTTTGTCAATTTTTATGATGGGCGCCTTTTTGTTCATGAAGTGATACATCCTAACATGATACGTTACAGTGGAATAGCTAGGAGCATCCATACCGAAGCATTTTACCAATGTCTCGTAGATTTTTTTACAGTCTTTGCATTTTTTTGCAAGAGCGAGGATGTTTTCTTTATGATTCATTAAAAAAATGAAAAAAATCCCGCCAAAATTTCCCGCGAAACCGCCTCTTGTCTCAAAATTCATTTTATATCCCGGCATGGCGCCAAAATACAACATACTCATCATATACATATATTCATATTTTTTATTATATATTTATAATCAGCATATATCTCCTTTAATAGTCTCATATAGAGCGCTGTGCTAAACGCACCTTTGGACACCCTATATTATTTTCACTAACATCAATTTTACAGTAAGCACCTTCAAAATCATATGAGCTTACTCTAGAAGCGAAACTGCAGACGCGATCTTGAACAAATTCGCCTTCTTCTTTATAGAAAATACAACCACCCCAACCGGTGTTACTACAGTTATTAAATGTTGTAGTATCAATGAGGAATTTGATTGAATGTTTTTTTGTAACTAAGTAAACTGAACTTTGTGCGTTAACTTGAGTGAAAAAGCATGATGAAATATAATAACTGCTTTGTTTTGCTGTAAGTTTACTATGATTGTTTGTATATTTTTCGTATGTTTCTGTGCTTGGATAAAATTCTGTCCAATCTTCATGAGTTCGAATTCGTGTTGCATTGGTCAATTGATATCTAATGAATACTGAATATTGTTCATTTCAATAAAGGATCTATGAAATAGTTTTTATCCCCTATAAAAGGGATTTTTGCTATTCCATAAAAATCGAATTAAAAAAGTGCTTCTCAATAATAGTCAAATAATTATATAAAAATTATACTACAGTCTGCCGAAAAAAAGTGTCAAATGCAAGGGGAAAAAATGCTGCATTATCTCAAAATATAAGTTTGGATTTTTTTTAAAATAGGGCGAAAATTGAATGAGTGAAGCGGTTTTCAATTTTCGAACTATTTTATAATTCCACATATTTTGTAAAGCTTTCAATCTTGGTCAAGAATTTCAAAAGATGAAATTTTTTAATGGTGTATTTCAGCCCATATGACATGGCTTTGAATTCTGATCTTTAAGGTTGCTCAAATGACATTGAAACATAAATTTATAGTAAGGGTTTCGTTTTGCTAAAATTGTCACTTTTATAGCATATTTGTTTTTGGATGTTTTGCGAAACCAAAAAAAAACTATGATATACAATGTGTGTGTAAAGAAAATACTTTATTTACTAGTTAAAAAATCATTTGGTATTGATCAAGTTATTTTTTCTGGATAAGATATTATATGGATAATTGGATAGAAAATACAATTATATAATCTTGTACCTGGTTTAATTAAGCTAATTGTCATCAGAAACTTGTAATTTTTATGAATTTCAGATTTTCTTTTCATTACTGCTTTTCTTAATAGGTCAAGTTCTTATTTACGTTATAAAGTATGATATTTACAAATATCAAGTTATCGTGTTTTTTGAGAAATTATGAGAAACAAACAAAAATGAAAAAGATAGGAATAGCAATGAATAGTGATGTGGGTATAGAAAATGTAAGAGATATGAATGCAAAGCAATCAGTATTTAGGACATTGACCATAGATTTCGAAAAAAAAAAATGCTGCATATTGAGCGAAAACTATGATTATATTATAAGGCTGTCATTTAAAGCATAATGAAACTATTCCCTTTTCATTTTAATCGAATAAGATAGTAAAGATTTTTGAATTAGCTAGAAACTGATGAGATGTTTTCACAAATCAGATTTTTAATCTCTATAATGCATAATTCACTCAATATCTCAATTTTGATATTGCGAGATATTTTTGCTATCGGTTTCGCAATTTTGACACAATAGCAAGAGGGTTCTATAAGCATTATTATCAACGTAGAATCTGAATATCATATCAGAAAATGTCGCAAATCTGACATTTACCCGACCAAATAGCAAAAATAATTGAATACTTTTCGCAAAAACTTTAAAAATCGATAAAAATATGAAATATAGATATTAAAGAGACTTTTTATATAATATTCATAAAGATTTTCCAAAAATATGATACCGCAAAATTAAAAAAGTGACGTCTTGAGTGGAGTCAAAGGTCGAAATTGCTAGCTAAATGTTTTTTAGCGAAATTGCGTATTGTACGTTTTTTTCGCAAAACGAAACCCTTATTTATAGATGATAAAGATATGAGATATGAGTTTTTTTTTCCACTAAATAAAACAATTTTTATTTAGATAAGGAACAATATAAATATGTATTGGAAATTGGTAAACAAATAGATGTGTGCACAGACAAAAAACAATTGCTTGCTCTAAGTGCACAAATATTTGGATTTACCAACATACATGGGATTTAGGCCTCACACTTATATTTTTTGTAACAAAAATGTTCTAAATGCCGAATACACTTCATATCGAAATATCCCTTATAAGATAAGGATTCCAAAGAACAAAAGTTTTCCAAATCTGAAGAGTAGATTGCCAGTTTCCTACAAAAACTGGAATTTGGCATTTATAAATGTTAACATGTAATGATGAGATCGGTTTTTGATTTGAAAGATCTAGAAAATTTATCAAAATTTCTTGATTTCAATTATCTTCAATCAAGAGTTGATATGAAATAGATAATATTTTAAAATATATGAAGCATGTATTTTACTGATTTTTTATTAGTATAAGCAATATATTCTCATATTACTAATATATTCAAAAATCAAGAACTTTTGTATATAAATCATGTGAGTAACCGGATAGAAAATATGAGTGGTTCACACTGTTTCTTCATATTTACAAAAAACAGCCCTTGGGGGTGGGGCGCGATCAAATACTTGAAAATTAATTTTGGAGTCCATAAGTGCATAGTATAATGGTTAGAATTCCCTATAACAAATCTTGTTTTGAAGTTCATTTGCCGAACACAAAACTTTTTTTCGAAATCGAAATTATTTCAAAAAAATATATCTTATTTTTTGCTTTTTAAGATAGTCATTATACACAAAATATTAGTAAACTATTTTTATTTGAATTACTAAAACTTTCAATTTTTTATTCTCTGATAGAGACTCTCAAATGATACATTATCCAATATATATGATTTACTGCTGCTCTGAGTTATATTACAACTCTGTCCAATGACATCTCACAAACTCTATACCCTCAATATATTTTTCTATGTCTTCTTTGAAAACATTTGTATAGTTAAGATATAAAACTTTTGACATAAGTGTTTCAATGTCATGAACTCTTATAGAACCACTATATAATAGTCTAGCAGATATACTATCCCAGTCTATATATTCTGCTTTTTTCAAAACCTCTCTCACAATATTTTTGTTATCTAATGGTATACGTTCCATCTTACCTATAGGTATCTTTTCTTTTAACTCTTTCAATATATTGTTTGTGTCTGGAATATGTTTGAGACGGTCCATATAGTTGTCGAAGTCATTGCATATAATCTTTGAGTCAGGAAATACGGTATGACATAAATGGGATATATAGAAACTTCCACCGAACAAATCTACAAATGTTAGACCATTCGGTAGTTTCTTAAGTTCTCTCAATATAATATCTTTACATCTACTCTTATTTCCAAAGAACGGTAACAGTGGTTTTGTAAAATTCATTTATATATAATAATAAAAATGTTTTTACCCGAAAAGTGACAGAAAAGTGACAAAACACAAAAACATATATAATTTGTGAAAAGTGACACATTATATAATGTTTTCGACCCAGAAGAAGGCTTCTTCCCAGAAGCAATGGAGGAGGAAGAAGAGGAGGAGGAAATACAAGACTCTATCCAAGAAGAGTCCTCCGAATTCACACCAGAAGACTAACAATTTTCCGAATAAAAACTTCATTTATACTAAACATCTTCAGGGCTAGAGGGCGCAACGCGCCTGGAAGCCCCAATACTTTTTTTAATACAAAATTCTTAATTTCAGAATTTACAATAGGGAAAAAATTAATTGAGCGAAAAATAATCGTCTTATAAAAATAATATAGCCAATACCTAATTTAGTTGCACTTTGATTATTGAGAAGGAAATGGGATTTTAAATTACCTGCATAGTCTTTATGGATTCACATATCCTCAATATATTTCTCTTAAAGAATCCGAACATATTGAAAATTACGAAGTCAAAAACGCATTTGATTTTGATTATTCCATAAATTCATATTGGATTTCAGGCACAACACACGGATATTCTTCAATATGCTTTCCTTTTCATTCCCTTACTATTGAATCTTTTGAAATTAAAACATCGAACAAAAGCTGCCGCCCTATTAAAATTGCCGCAGAAGTTAGTGAAAATGGAAAAGATTACCATGGGTATCAAGAATATAATTATTCTATGGCAAAGTTAGAAACAAAACAATTTATGTTTAATTATAATAAAACTTTTGTTCGATGCTTTAAATTTTATTCTATCAGATCTTCTTGTCATTCTGATGGAGTCGGAGCTGATATTGGTCAGGTTGATTTATACGGATATTTAAAAGAAATTAATCGAGCTACAAACGAGTTTGGAGTTCCGATAGAAATATATGTAACATGTAATTTTTATTGGAATCTATCTTTGAATTTATTTCTTTTGTTTGCTGCAATATTAACATGAGTCTATTTTTTAATGACTGAGTTATCTAAAATTCACACATTTCTAATATTGAAATACTTTTTCACTAAAATGAAAATTTTATGGAGTATCTAAACTCTAAATATGATGAATTCGGTTATTTGATTCATCCTCCTCATTTTTGGAAATATTAGCAGATATATTCATAGATATCAATGTGAAAGAAGTCAAGAGTGCGCTTATCACTTTCTGAGATTTTCTCAATTTTTTTGACATCCCTAATTTTCGTCCCGATTAGTTAAGGCGAAATGTTAATATTTTTGGTCAGTAAAAAGCAATTGTAAATCACCGTATAGTGCATTATTTGGTTGTTATACTTTTATGCGCTTTAAATAAGAATATATTGATTTTGTGAGCGCATGTCTGAAAGTAATAATCAAAAAAATTAACGAAAAAATGATGTTTTATTGCTTATTGTTCATCAGATAATTGTTTCTTGAAAGCGAGTTTCAGTTCAGAAATGACAGATTGTGTCAATTTCTCATCATTTGTGCGAACTTCAACAACAAATCCGCTTCCTTCTTTGATAACCAATGAAACAACAAATACGTCGCCTTGTGCTTTGCTTGCAATTGCAACAACTTTCTTTCCATCGATTTCTCTCTTGTGGACTGATCCTCTTGTTGCATCACTTACTCCTCTGACTAACTGCTGAACTGGAACTTTGTCTCCGAATTCCAACTTTTCTGTCTTTGTGCATTCAGGCAAAATAACATCCAATTCTTCAGAATCAGCGTTCTGTAAGAACATTGTTGATACAACACGTAACTTACCACGCAACATTTCGCCACTTCCGCCTGTTGGAATAACAGTGACTTTGACAATCTTTGGCTCCAAAACAGGCTTAGTTCTGTAAGCGATTTTATGCATGACTTTGTCACCAGGAAGAATTTCCTGTCTCAAGCATTGTGTGTTTGTATCATCCAAAGTGAATTCTACAGCGGAAATCGGAGCTGATGAAGTATTTAACACTTGAACAGATATTTCAATACCATTTGTTCTTGGCTGTATATCTGTAATAGTAAGTGCAATTCCCTGAGAATTTCCGATCTGTCTGAAAACGTCATCGCTTTGGATTGATGGCAAAATTTCTCTTCTTTGTTGCAACAATTGTTTGGATTGTTTTGCCAATAATTCATCTTGTGAATATGGCTTGAGTTCTGGCAATTGTTGTGTTGAAGGATCGTTTATGTTGAAAGAAATCTGAGAAATTGGGGATTGTGTTGTCTTTGCATTTGATTTCTTTGGCTGATCACCTTCAACAGGTAACAAAGAATTTGATTGATCATCTAATATTGGCATCAATCTTCTCTGGCGTTTCGGTGGTTCCAAGTTAACACCCAATGTTCCTGTCAAAACAACGACTTTGTCTGTTTTAGCTTGTGTTTGTTTCTTCTTGTCAGCTGATCTTAACAAGAACAAACTCTTATTTGGAGCGTTTGGATCATCTTCCTCCAAATCATCTAAAACAAATCCACTGTTGTCTTGTGGATCCAAATCAACAATTGGCTGTGTTAAGTCTAATCCACTTGGAAGCTTAACTTTAGATTGAGCTTGTGGATCAACAGCAGCAAGAGGAGCTGAATAGAGACTAGAAATCGCTTGTGCATTTGGTTGTGCAGAGAAAACATCGACTAAAGCACTCATCATTGATGCACCTTCTTGTACTTCTGTGTATCTTGATTGAGTGTATTTCGGAAGTTTCTCTTTAAGTGATTTCGATCTCTTCTGGAGTAATGAATCTTCATTTGATTTCGCATAGATCTTGAATGCGTTTTGGAGACAAGCGGATTGTGCTGATGGTTTAACTTGTTCTATTTTGTCTCCAAGTAACAAATCAAATGAAATTTGTTGTTCATCACCTTCAGAATATTCTCCCAAAATGAAAGCGGCGATTTCAATGAAATGTGTCTCACTGACATTCATTTCTTTCATGTATTCGATCATCTCTGTAACTAATACTGGTCTTGTTGATTTAGCTCTCAAAGCCATTGTCAACAATTCTTCGGATAATTCACTCGATTCAACTCCAAAACTGTGGATTGTCAATAAAATGTTGACATACCATTCGTAATCGGTGAATCTCTCGTATGATGTCTCCTTTCCATACCTGCAAATGGAAATAAGACGTGAAACTAATGTATCTCTAACAACACCTGGTTTTCTAGCTTCTATTTGGTCGACCAAATTAAGAACGATTTCACCGATGTTCTTTTTAGTGACAATCGATTCGAGGAGGTCGACAGCGATGAAAACACATGTCTGGTCATCACTCTCGAGACAGTTCATGAGTGTCTGGCGATGGAGATTGATGATGGACTGATTTAATTGCATCAAACGAGTGATGGAAATCAAACCAAGATAACGAAGATTTGGATCTTCATTTTCAATGAAAGATTGGGCTCTGTCTGCAGCTGTTCTGATCAATTCACGATTGTTGATACGTAATGTGCAGATTAAGCGAATGACCTCGAAAACTACGGATGGAGATGAAGCGCTGTTGAGAACTTCGTTGATCATTCCAGATATCTTCTGGTTGAACTTCTCAAGGGCTGTAATTTCGAGGGTTGCACCAATTGTAGATACGATGTTCAAAGCTCTGACAAGGATCCATGGTGATCCGACGTAATCTTGGAAAAATGTGACAATTGTTGGTAAAAGAACTTTGTAGTTCGAAGGATTATGCATGCAAAGCTCGTTAAGAAGTGTAAGAGCGGCTTGGATGACACCTGGTGGGTTTGTTTTGTCTATAAGAATTCCTTTGAGATTCATAGCCTTAATGCCTGGAGGAAGGCACTCTGGGAACTTCAAACAGAGCTTGTAGAAGCAGGTAATGGTTTTTTGTCTGATATCATCGCGTGGATTGTTGAAATTAAGAGTAACATTTGTAACAACGCTTTCTGCGAACTGTGGTGTAGCAATAAGTGGAATTAAGGTTAATGCAAGTGTCTTTCTGAAAGGATCAGCGCCGAGAAGGTCTTTGTTGATGCAGGAAATAACCATCATTACGACATCTGAGTTTGGTGTCCAAAATTCGGACGCGGCGAGGTAGGCCATCATCTTTACAGAAATGTTCTCGGACATCATGATCTCCGAAATCGGGAAATCTGCCCAATCAATGTTAACTCCTTGATAGTGAAGGAATAAAAGCTCTTGTAAGGAATCAGCTTTCTGAAGTTCGTTGCCTTGATTGCTGAGAAGACGATCTTTGGCTCTACGAACAACATCATTGATCAAAGTTTCCAAAGGAGACTGATCGGCTCCTGTAGCTGGGTTAGAACCTTTCTGTCTTGTGTCATTAAACTTCTTGACAAGAGTTTCTACTCCAGTACCTCCGAATATGGCGGTAGGAATGTATGAAGTCATTTATTTGACAATTTGACAGTCAATTGTGAGCATCTGCCAGCTATCAAGGTTTGAAGTGATTTCGGGTTTCATTTTTATAACATTAAATATACATCATGAACCATGAAAGAATCTGTGACAAAATAAGATTTATGTGATATTTTAAAAAATTTTGAAATCTAAATTCTATTTTCAATACATTAACTAAATACCATTAAGATTTATAGAGTGATCCATTATGTAATGTAATAGTTCGCAGTTTGGAACTCAACTTATTAACAAAGATATCAAAATGGGAGTAGGTGACAAAAGTGCATACTCTTAAATTAACCTTAAATGTTGATTTTTCGATATTTTCGGTATTAACCTTATTGTAAATTTTTCCGGTGATAAATTTATCACACTGAGGTTATTTTTCCGGTGAGATTTTTAACCTTGATTTAATGAAATTAATATATATAAATTTTATTATTTTTAATTTCGAATGAGTATAATAAAATATTTTTTTATATCGTCATAACTCTCATCACTGTTGTGATTCCAAATGCGATTATTAAGGTTCAAGTCGCTAATGTTTTGAATGAAGATAGAGCAGTAAGAATTCTTACAAGGGCAGGTAATCAGATTGTTGAGCAAAGAGCTTCAAAACACGATGAATGTTTGAAATTAATTCAACACATTTTGGAAATTGTCGAAAGCCGAAGGATTGAACCTAATGTCCTTATTCCATCTTTGAAGGCAATATTAAATTGGGCACAAAGAAGTTTAAAGGAAGAGTAAGCAAGATTAGATAATTTGGACTTTTTTTAAAATTAATGAATAAACAGTATATTTTTGAAGTGTAAGCTTATTTACCTGAAGCTATATTACTTAATATAACATTCAAAGTATTATTGCTATTTATTGGAGAACAAATTTATGTAATTTTCACATGAAAATTGATAAATTTGTATTTCCTTATGATAATCAATTTTTGTATTTGTAGAGAGTCTCCCTGCATGATATCAAGACTTGGCTATAAGTCTTTATCCATTTTTGAAAATTGTATTGTAAATTGTAAGAATTTCTGAATACTACTACTATAAAATATAATTGCTTATCTATGTATATTCTCCCTGCATGATATCAAGACTTGGCTATAAGTTTCTATTCATTATGAGTATGACCCCATTTTTTTACAAAAAGTGCTGAATTGCAACTTTGTCCCAATCTCTATCAAAATGGTATGTGAAAGAGCTAATTCAGCTTGAGTCTTATGGAGGAATTTGGAATATATTACTAGACATGCGCACATTTCTTCAGGATCAAAATTCTTGTTATATTCTTATATACGAAAAAAAGAGATCTGACATTGTGTCAGATCTCAGTAAAAGTGACATTTACATGTCAAAAAAATAGAATGAGTTTAAGTAATTAAAATTGAGGGTGAGAGTAGTATTGTATGAAATAATATCTCTCACCCTCCAATTCATCCTATGGCGCCGAAAAAATTTTGGTGAAATGCGACCACATTTCACCAAAATTTCTCGGCGCCATATAGAGAACTAGAGCCTGTGAGGTACTGATACTATCCATGTACCTCGCAGGCTCTAGTTCCAAGCCAAAATGGCTAAAAATTGCCCGCAATTGTTCACATTGCGGGCAATTTTTAGCCATTTTTGGCTGGGAATTGGAGGGTGAGAGTAGTATTGTATGAAATAATATCTCTCACCCTCCAATTCATCCTATGGCGCCGAAAAAATTTTGGTGAAATGCGACCACATTTCACCAAAATTTCTCGGCGCCATATAGAGAACTAGAGCCTGTGAGGTACTGATGCTATCCATGTACCTCGCAGGCTCTAGTTCCAAGCCAAAATGGCTAAAAATTGCCCGCAATTGTTCACATTGCGGCAATTTTTAGCCATTTTGGCTGGGAATTGGGAGGGTGAGAGTAGTATTGTATGAAATAATATCTCTCACCCTCCAATTCATCCTATGGCGCCGAAAAATTTTGGTGAAATGCGACCACATTTCACCAAAATTTCTCGGCGCCATTATAGAGAACTAGAGCCTGTGAGGTACTGATACTATCCATGTACCTCGCAGGCTCTAGTTCCAAGCCAAAATGGCTAAAAATTGCCCGCAATTGTTACATTGCGGGCAATTTTTAGCCATTTTGGCTGGGAATTGGAGGGTGAGAGTAGTATTGTATGAAATAATATCTCTCACCCTCCAATTCATCCTATGGCGCCGAAAAAATTTTGGTGAAATGCGACCACATTTCACCAAAATTTCTCGGCGCCATATAGAGAACTAGAGCCTGTGAGGTACTGATACTATCCATGTACCTCGCAGGCTCTAGTTCCAAGCCAAAATGGCTAAAAATTGCCCGCAATTGTTCACATTGCGGGGCAATTTTTAGCCATTTTGGCTGGGAATTGGAGGGTGAGAGTAGTATTGTATGAAATAATATCTCTCACCCTCCAATTCATCCTATGGCGCCGAAAAAATTTTGGTGAAATGCGACCACATTTACCAAAATTTCTCGGCGCCATATAGAGAACTAGAGCCTGTGAGGTACTGATACTATCCATGTACCTCGCAGGCTCTAGTTCCAAGCCAAAATGGCTAAAAATTGCCCGCAATTGTTCACATTGCGGGCAATTTTTAGCCATTTTGGCTGGGAATTGGAGGGTGAGAGTAGTATTGTATGAAATAATATCTCTCACCCTCCAATTCATCCTATGGCGCCGAAAAAATTTTGGTGAAATGCGACCACATTTCACCAAAATTTCTCGGCGCCATATAGAGAACTAGAGCCTGTGAGGTACTGAGACTATCCATGTACCTCGCAGGCTCTAGTTCCAAGCCAAAATGGCTAAAAATTGCCCGCAATTGTTCACATTGCGGGCAATTTTTAGCCATTTTGGCTGGGAATTGGAGGGTGAGAGTAGTATTGTATGAAATAATATCTCTCACCCTCCAATTCATCCTATGGCGCCGAAAAAATTTTGGTGAAATGCGACCACATTTCACCAAAATTTCTCGCGCCATATAGAGAACTAGAGCCTGTGAGGTACTGATACTATCCATGTACTCGCAGGCTCTAGTTCCAAGCCAAAATGGCTAAAAATTGCCCGCAATTGTTCACATTGCGGCAATTTTTAGCCATTTTGGCTGGGAATTGGAGGGTGAGAGTAGTATTGTATGAAATAATATCTCTCACCCTCCAATTCATCCTATGGCGCCGAAAAAATTTTGGTGAAATGCGACCACATTTCACCAAAATTTCTCGGCGCCATATAGAGAACTAGAGCCTGTGAGGTACTGATACTATCCATGTACCTCGCAGGCTCTAGTTCCAAGCCAAAATGGCTAAAAATTGCCCGCAATTGTTCACATTGCGGGCAATTTTTAGCCATTTTGGCTGGGAATTGGAGGGTGAGAGTAGTATTGTATGAAATAATATCTCTCACCTCCAATTCATCCTATGGCGCCGAAAAAATTTTGGTGAAATGCGACCACATTTCACCAAAATTTCTCGGCGCCATATAGAGAACTAGAGCCTGTGAGGTACTGATACTATCCATGTACCTCGCAGGCTCTAGTTCCAAGCCAAAATGGCTAAAAATTGCCCGCAATTGTTCACATTCCCATCTTTTGTTGGTAAGACGAAGAATATGAAATAAATTATGAAGAAGATAATGATGAATAAAATATCACTTTTTATATTTTTGACACGTAAAGTTGTCACTTTTCTGTCAAACCGTTTTTATCGTTTTCGTATATAACAATATTGTGACGTTTAGTATTGAATTCTAAAGGAAATGAAATTGTGGATTAGAAAAATTTTGTGCATATGTTATGAAGACAATAAATCTGAAATCGAAATTACTTCATTAAGCATTCATTATTGAATTGAAGACAAAACAGCTCTTCAATGCTCAGATTTATCTATAATGAACTTTTCTACATTATGGATAAAAGCTTCATTTGTGAGAAATCACGAATTTGCTAGGATTTACATAATTCAAATGTGATTACATGAATCAACATTCTTCTTAGAGTAAGCCTCATGCATTCATGACAAAGTTCAAATGTTTTACCTATTGGAATCCAATTTACTTGTATTATAAAATCACCACGTATTATTTCACATGATTTGGCACAACTGATTCGAAACTTCCCATAAATTCATAGTTTCCGGATGTGTGAAACTAAAAATTCGATCAGATTTCACAAAAATCCGAATTTTGCCATTGGCCGCATAAGATTTTGGAGATTTTAATGAGCAATTTAGGTCAGGTAAGTGGGGCTTCCAGGCGCGTTGCGCCCTCTAGCCCATAAGAAATTTTGCCCAAGACCCAAGAGGAGGACCGAACCCCAGCCGACCAGCCGGTGACAAAACCAAAACTGTTGTTATTTACATCATATTAATGGTGTCACTTTTCACAAATTATATATGTTTTTGTGTTTTGTCACTTTTCTGTCACTTTTCGGGTAAAAACATTTTTATTATTATATATAAATGAATTTTACAAAACCGCCGTTACCGTTCTTTGGAAATAAGAGTAGATGTAAAGATATTATATTGAGAGAACTTAAGAAACTACCGAATGGTCTAACATTTGTAGATTTGTTCGGTGGAAGTTTCTATATATCCCATTTATGTCATACCGTATTTCCTGACTCAAAGATTATATGCAATGACTTCGACAACTATATGGACCGTCTCAAACATATTCCAGACACAAACAATATATTGAAAGAGTTAAAAGAAAAGATACCTATAGGTAAGATGGAACGTATACCATTAGATAAGAAAAATATTGTGAGAGAGGTTTTGAAAAAAGCAGAATATATAGACTGGGATAGTATATCTGAAACAATAAGAATTACCGAAAAAGTGACAAAACATCAAAAACAGGGAGGGGGTCTCAATTTTTATTACTTATATTATTTTACAATATTTATATAAATACTCTTTATAATATATTTTACTATAAAATTATACCTCAAATTCAAATATTTAAAATATTA